ATAATAATAATAATAATAACGATTATAATAATGATTATAATAACAATATGACTGCATTTCTATAGCAGGTATTCCGGTCTACAGATTGCTCTTGCAATTTTCAATCATTGTTCCCGAACAGACCCTATAGTCAGAAATATTTTCGACTTTCCCAAGAAGCATACATTGCAAGAAGCCGATTAGGTGCTCAAACAAGCTGACACGTTCTGTGACGAGTTTGTTACAACTTTTCCCTGCAACTTCTCTTTCAGCACCAGGTCTGCTCAGACAGCACACCTTTTCTATCGTCGAATGCCATAACACTTTGTTTGTTCTCGGCAAACAACACACACACACACAGACACACACACAGACACACACACACACACGCACACACATACACACACACACGCACACACATACACACAGACACGCGTGCACACACACACATACACATAGACACACACACACACACACGAGCACATGCAGACAAACACGAACATACACAGTTACACACACTCTCTCTGTCACACATACGCACGCATGCACACTTACAAACACACACACACACACACACACACACACACACACACATACACACTTACACACACACACACACACACACACACAAACACACGCGCCTGCACACTCACACACACACACACACACACACACACACACACACACACACACACATACACACACCTTGACTTTGTAATGTGTGCCTGACATTGACAGGAGATCAACTTTCATGTTGACGTCAACAAACAGGAATGGAAATGGACACCGTGGACAGGATACCCTTTTTAAACCGTACATTATGTATGTATTTTTTAACGGCCCTATTGACGCAATTTAGATCCTTTAATAGACGGGCAGGCTTCCGAATTTGTCTGTCAAGGCGAATCCCAGCTGGGAGAGATACAACGTCCCAGCAGAAAGACAGAGGCACTTGATTAAAATATTTCCTCTCTCGGAAATAGAACTTGAGTCTCCTGCATGCGACAATGAAGCGCCGTATCGATACGGCTGAATACACTTTAACCCCCCCTAAAAAAACAACAAAAAACACACCAAAAAACAACAACAAAACAAAAGAAAAAACAAACAAAAAAAAACAAAACAAAAAACAACAACTCAAACCCCCCCCAAAAATAAAAAACAAAACAAAAATAAACCACTACAACAAATGATTATTAAAAGGGTAGGTAGGCTATGACATTTGTAAAATAAGATTATACATTAACAGGAATTCACCAATGTATTCCTAATTTTGACTCGTTTTAAATTGTATTTATTTGAATCACAAAAAGGTCGGCATCGGGCCAATAATGTTCTATGTCATTTCCTTGTGTTCTTGCATAAAAGAACCAATCTAAGCTGATCTATGACATGAATGTGGGCGGTAGGCGAGTGCTCATGTGTGGCATGCTCCTTTACACCTACCAAATATCTATCTTTCTTATCTGTCCTCCTCATTTTCTTTCTATGTTCCTCTCTAGTAACACCGGACACTCGGGTAACACACAATCTTGAGCACTTATTTGGCCTATTTGTGTTGCAAGTGCCGCACAACTTACTAAAACTAAACTATAGCATGACTCTCTAACGTGGGCAGGGAGCCGATCAATTTGGAATTACCGGTCCACTATTATGGATGAGCGGAATAGACATAATAATAATGACCATTTTATGTTTTCGAATTTCCTTATGTAAAATGTTGTGAGATTTGTCATAGAATGTGAGTCAGGACTTTCTAGACTTTTGTGTTGTTTAGTTTACTGGCCGAACGTTGGGGTCTAAAACATTGTACAACAGTTACATAGTCAATAAAGTTAATTTTCTTTATATATATATATATATATATCTATATCTATATATATATCTATATATATATCTATATTATATATGTATATATATATATATATATATATATATATATATATATATATATATATATATATATATATATATATATATATATATATATATATATATATATATAGGTGTTTTTAACGTACCTATCGAAACTATTTAGATCATTTAGGAAACAGGCTTCCGACCTTGCCTGTCAGGGCCAACCCGGGCTGACAGGATACAACCTCCCAGGAGAAAGACCGAGGATACTCTGACTCAGATAAATCTTTCCCGCCATTCGGGACTCGAACTCCGGTCTTCTGCGTGCGACAGCGAAGCACCTAACCGCTAGATTCTATACCACAGAAGTCGGTCATCGAAGTTTCCAAAACCTTGCAGGGTGACTGGAGAACACAAAGTTGACGTGCAGATTTTTCAAACCTGGCCTAGATCACTAGAGTAAGAAATTGAAAACGGACGGTTGGAGAGCGCCACTGGTAGGTTCTACTTCTTTACTTTCCCTCTGTTGTTTCTGTATGTCTGTATTACTTTTTCCTCGCGCTAAATAACCATTATTGTGTCGATGTGCTTTTCTCCACTAACTCACTCAAACAAACAAACAAACAAACGAACAAATCAACAAACAAACAAACAAACAGAAAGATAGAAAGTAGTGGTCAGCTTCACTGTCACCAATCTCTGGGAAAACCCCCCCACGATTATTTCACTCATCTCGGAATGGCATTCTGGTCATTCGACAATACTTGAACACACGCTGTTTGAATGCACTTCAAAAACGAAGTAAGAATATTTTCGTTACTCGTACCTGCAATTCAAAAGGACAGGTAACAATATGAATACGGTGAAATAATAAGCGAATTCGTGTTCCTGACATGTGTTTGGGTGTTCGAAATATGCCACAATTGCATTTGTGTATATGTGCAAATTTGTGTTTCTGATATGTGTATGGTGGTTCTTAATATGTGCAATTACATTCTGTGTGCAGCTGATATGATATCTCGTGTATCAACTGCACCTTTTCAGGGTTAATGAACCTTTCAAATTGCTTGGCAAATAAAACGACCCCCCCCCCTCTCATAATATTTCCTACGTAGAGTAGTCGCGAAAGTTCTTTCTGCAAACACAATGCACTGTAGCAGCACAATCTCCGGCACATATTTTCGTTTACACAACATCGCAAAACAACTGTCATCATAGCCTATTGTCAAGTCATTTTTTTCCCATCACCAGATAAAATACACACATACACGTCTATCATTATGTATAATAATCATAATTATTATGTATATTATATTGCATCAGTTTCGCTGGACCTCAACTGAAATACGCAAAGGTTCCCATAGAACCTTCTATTTTTACTTTGCACGTAGATCTAACTGAAGCAAACCAAAAATTGGCGTTACAAAACCATTCCTCTCTCAACTTACAGCCTGTCACCACCATGCTATCGGGCAATGACATAGCAAATGTTAAAAAAAACCCAGTCCTCGTAGGCAGCGGTATAAAAGATGTCTCACAGCCATCGGCCCCCACACCGAGGTATCGCGAGCAGTCAACCAACATTCGCTGACGGGATAATTTTTCTGTGGTACGAGTAACTTAATTAAAGCTTTATTTTTTCAAAAAGTTGTTTTTTTTGCAGCACTTTTTCCAGAGGTGCTGGAAATATTCTTTTCATGCGGTTTTTCGTCGTCTTTTGTTAGAACTTCCCTTAGACGAGGACCATCATTAATTGTGTGCATTTCAGAATTGCATATCAATTTATTCATTTTTTGCAGACTTGGTTGTGTATTGATTTTTAAAATAGGCTTATAGATACGGCTCTTTGAAGTTTATGATGATACAAATAATGATAGTGATAATAGGCCAAATTTACAATGATAATGGTGATGCTAATAATAATAATGATAATAACAATATTGATAATGATAATGATAATGACAATGATACTACTACTACTACTACTACTACTACTACTACTACTACTACTACTACTACTACTGCTGCTGCTACTACTACTACTACTACTACTACTACTAATGAAAATAATAATAAATAATGATAGTGATAATGATAAACAGTGATAAGAATGAAGATGGCAGTAATACAAGATTGCCTTTAACAGCTTTTATTCCTGCTCAAAATACGTTTTTATGCTCTTCTGCAAGAATAAGTTATCGTACCTCTTGTAGTTCTCAACAATTCTGATATATTTTCAGGTTCACGGGAACAATTTAGAAAGCTATTTTACAGACTTTGAAACACAACAAATATTTTCGTTAATCATACACACTTTTCAATTTTGTGTTTAAAAAAATCTTAAATAAAAAAAAAAAAGTAGGCAACATTATGCTTACTATAAATAAATGATGTGCAAATTTCTCTCTATTATTACGTTCACAAAATGTTTCATTATTCAACCCGGTACCAAATTCCCATGCCAGGGAAGTGAGGAAGAAGTAAAGCGATTTTTGAGGGTGGCTGATATGTGTTCTGGTGTGGTTCGCTTCTTCTGTCAATATTCACTGTGGTTCTTTGCTACCCTCCTTCTGTTCACCTGTGTTACTCTCTTGTTACTCTAATCGTCGGCACTTATATAATTATGACATCAAGGGTTGTATGTGCCGTAAAACCTCTATCAAACCATAGTATTTTTTTCACAAGGATGTGAAGCCAGGCCTGAATCGGGATTCGAGCCGGAGACCATACAGTTAGGAAAGGGCAGCATAACCACAGGGTTGTCGACGCTGTGCAGCCATACTATTTTTATTCTCCTCAACTTAGGAAGAGGGAATACAATCCGGGCTGATGTTTTTGAGGCAACATAAAGACCCGCTCCTGGGCCATTATAGAGATGGACTCGTTTTTGCCTATTCAGTCTTTTCATTCTCGATTCAAAGTCCACTTTTTTTTCTTCTCTGTTCTACAAACTGTTCAAGCGCCAGACTGTTGACGCTGTAAATATCTAAATGTCATTCCGTCCTCCCCTTTAACTGTATGACGCTTTCTCTGAACTGAACTATTTTGCTCGTTACGGGTAATCGTTTCAGTATCTACATGGAAAGTACACGTAATAAAAAGGGTGGACACTTGTCATTTTAGTCTTGTCCTTCATTCCCACATCTCAAATTCCCTCAAACTATTTCTCTTCTCCCACTCTCCCTCCCTCTGTCTCCCCCTCCCTCTCCATACCTTTCTCATATTCTGTTTCGCTCTCTCTCTCTCTCTCTCTCTCTCTCTCTCTC